CACTAGCTAATCAAAATAGAGACAATTTACAAGTAATGTTTAAACCAGTCTGCCTTTGAACTTTCCTTGTAATTATTCTCCATCATTTCTCTACTCTTTTTTTCCCTCCTTTATATTCTAGCTTTGTCTTCTAAAGGCATTTTCTCCCTTTATCTCTTATTATACCTATGATATTTTCACTCAGCTCTTGAAAATAATAATAACTAAGAATTTATCTTTTCATGATTCCATTTAAGATATATGAATTATTTGAAATTCAAGCATAATACCTGGTAGCCATTCATTCATTCATTCATTCAACAAATATTCATTGCAGCATGCTATCTTGTTCTGAGAATGCAATATTGAAAAAAAATACAAAATCCTACCCTTCATAAAACATGTATTCTGGTAAGTAGAGACAAATAATAAACAACAACGACAAAAGAAGTATTTAAGAAAGAAAAGTTATATGAGAAAATCAGAAAAAGGGACAGAGTATCCTTAAAGATGGTTGCTACTTTAAATAGGATATATTGGAGCAGCATCGTTAATAAGAGATATTTAGGCACAACAAAGGAGATATACGGTGTAGCGCTTTCAGCAGAAAATACAGCAAGTATCAGTGGCCACAATGTCGACAGCTTCTCAGGCTGATGAAGGATTGCCAACTTATCATCAGACTGAAGGTTTCTCTGGGAATGAAAAATGAGTGACAGAAGGAAAAGAAGAGAGGGTGCAAGACTGGATGGAAAGTTTTATAAATTAGTCCTGGGTGTGGAGTACCTCTCTTCTTCATTCTGTTGATCAGTATTTACTTTTATTAACACACCTAATTCGAGGGAGGCTGGAAAGTATCAGTTTGGTGCTCAGTGGGGAAGGTATTGACTTTTGGTAAGTACATGAGTGGTTTCTGGGTTAGCATAACATATATTATCCTTAAATGTTTATTTGCAGTTTGAATCCACAAGTACCAAAATATTAGACAAATCTAATGAATGTAATTCCTATAAAGATTATATTTATGACTATCAGAAAATCACACTACAGTTCGTTGATAAAGAGTGCCTTGCTATAGTGAACAGTGCATTGGACAGGGTATGATTAACTTGGATTACATAGTACTCAGTGTGGCAGCCAAGGTTCATGCTATTTGGGGTGTCACTCATGTGACTCCATTTTGTACCTTAGTGGTCAAAGAAAGACTCTTTCAGATACTTCTTTGGCTCCCCTAATTGGAAATCAGAACATTCAGATTTACTGTTTTACCTGACCTCTACTGGAAAAAGATGACTTTTCAAAATAAATAAAGCTGCTGTTAGGGTAATTGGATTATAAAGATTGCAAAATGATAAATCTTCACTGTGCACATATGCATATGTGTGTGTACATGTATATATAAAATATTTAATATATAATACATAACAACTATTATGTAATATGTATGAACTGATATATGTGTGTGTGTGTGTGCGTATAGATAGATAGATAGATAGATAGAGAACATATCTGACTCACACAATGTAAAAGAGGAATAATGACTCTTGGTTATGTTAGTCAGTGTTATTTAACATAATAAAACACTTGTTCTTGGCCGAATCATAGACTAAAACCCAAATATCAGTTATTTGGCGTGAACCTTTTTCAATTACTGTGCTCTTCACCAGTTATGGTATAGCATAAAAATCTCAGAGATTTTATATAGATGAAGCCCAGCCCCAAATAAACAATTGTCAATTATAAATTGATCTAGTAAATGGACTGACTTCTATACTTTGCTTTAATGCTCCCTGAATGCTTAGCAGAGTTCAGGAGTAGAGGGAGAATTAAGGGTACCGTTTCTAGAATCAGACTGCCTGGATCGAATGCTGTCCCCACCACTTACAAGCTGGACTGTCTTTGTGCAACATACTTTTCCTCTGCCTCAGTTTATTTATCTCTAAAGTGTAGGTGAAAACAGCATCTTTATCATAGGACTATTGTGATGATTGAGTTAATATTTAAGGGGACTTCAAAAATTCATGGAAAAATGTTATACAAGAGACATAAAGTACTTGTTCACTGGAATTTGTTGTTTATGGAAATCCTGCCATTGTTACTATGTTTACAAGCCCAGACCAACCTGTTGGAGACATGTTTCCAGTTAACTCCATCACCCTGAGCTGATATCACTTACTAATAGGCAACACTTATCCCTAGTAAGAAATGCCAACCTCAAATGACCGACTTTCACATAAATCTACGAGTTGATTATAGCCTGTTCACAGTGAAAATACTGCCCATTTGAGTCCAGGCTAACTTACTGACCCAAAGACTTGTAAATGATTGAATTATTGTTTTTTTTTCTATAGTGCATATACACTTACTAAAGAGACAGAGAAAGAGAGATACAAAGGGACGGGGGAGGGGGAGCAATGGCCATGCCACAATCCCTTCTCCTCCATCCCCCTCTCAGGATCTTGGGCATGTAGGCATCATTGCTCAGCATGTGCTTTAAGCCACCCAGTCTGGTTCTTGAACCGCAGTCGATTATATGGGTGTTCAGCGATATAATCATTATGCCATCTCCTGGTCTGGAATGACTGCTCTTCTAAACCACTATTTTAGGGGATGTTTTGTTACGCAGCTGAACTCAGCTTATGTGGTCAGTAACAGGAGATGAACTACAGTTACCTACAATGACTGAATATAGTAACATTGTTCATTTTTAAAGAATCAAGGCACAGGGATCTATTTGAAGCCTGAAAACCTATTTATAAAGATTAATAGGAAAATATAAGTAATTTTTACTTAAGTCTTATGTATCTTAATATGTAAGGAAAGTTAGCCTTAATTTTAGAATATAAAGATTGGAACCTTTAACATTTTGGTATTTCCAGCTAGCTTTTTTTCATTATTTTTTAAATTTTTAAAAAATTTTTATTATCTGTAGAGAAGGTAGGGACCAGCAGGAGAAGATAAAGATAAACAAAATTGAATAATATGTGAAAATTTTAATACCTTTTCTCCTTACTTAACTTGTCATTAAGTTCTCTTAAAACAAATACTGCTAATAATACATAATTTTAGATAATATAATGAATGGAATGAATCTCCTAATTTTGATATTTAGGTATTTCTAATGCTTTATTATTTATTTATTTTCCTTTTCTTTTTCTTTTTTTAAAAAGAGATTATAGGGACCAGCAGTTAGTGTAATGGCTATGTCGCTGGACTTCCATGTAGTCGACTGTAGTTCGAGTCCCAGACACAGTGGCTCAAACTCAGGCCGGGCGCGTGTGGGTGTGTGCCCAAGATCCCAAGAGGAGAATAGAGGAGAAGGGATTGTGGTGTGGCCATCCACCCTGTGTAGTGATTTCTCGCTTTCTGTTTCTCTGTCTCTCTGGCGAGCGCACACGTCCTATAGCAAAAACCTCTCCAAAGAAAAAGAGAGATTATAGGACACACGTGCTTCTTGGAGAGACATATAAAGACCGAGAGACAGAAAGTGAGAAATCATCCCCAGGGGAGATAGCCATGCTGCAATTCTTTCTCCTCCATTAGCCTCTTGGGATCTTGGGCCTGCACGCACATGAACCCAGCCTAAATTTTAAGCCTCTGGGTTTGGGACTTGAACCTCAGTTGACCACGTACGTGGGTGTTCAGCAACTAACCATTATGCAATCTTCTGGTCCCGTAACTCTTTAACAATTACAATGAACAACTTCATATATGATTTTATACATCATTGGGACATCCACCCCATAAAATAATTTCTTAAATATGTTTTAATCAAAATATTATGAACATATTTAAAAGTTATTAATATACTTTTGCTAATTGCACTCTGGGACAAATAAAAATTTATAACATACCAGAAATGTCTGAATTTATTTTATTTGTTTAACATGTACAAACATTTGGTGTATTCTGTTCATAATCTTTGACAAGTTGATAGGTAAAAATAACATTTCACTATTAAGTTACTAGCTGAATCTTCAACTTTATTCATTAGTCCTTTGTGTTCCCACATATCTGAATTATCTTTTCATGTGTTTTACTATAAATATTTTTCTATTGAAAGTTTCTAATACAGTTCATTGTGTTCTATCTTTTTAAATTATCGTATTTTAATACTGACTATATAGATTATACTCATCATCCTGATTGTACTTCGGTGTTTCTGTTGTTCTTAGGTGTATGTTTTAAAAATCTATATTTTCTTGATGATTAAGCTCTTTCTTTACTAATATCTGTTGATTTTAGGTTGTTTATTTGTTTCTCTCCAGAGCACATGTGCTTGCTAGAGAGAGAGACAGAGAAAGAAAAAGAGAAAAAGTGAGAAACCACTCCCAGGGGGACGTCCACACTGGAATCTATTTTCCTATCAGGATTTTGGGCACTCATGTAGATGTGGCAGTGTGTTTTTCAAGCCGGGTCTGGGACTCAAACTGTGCAGTCAGCAGCATGGGATCCAGCTGTTTTAACCACCATATCATTGACTGGCCCGAATTCATGTATTTCTATGGTGAGCTTTATCCCTTAGAAATTAAAAACCGACTTGAGAGAGCTTATTCTGAGTTAGTAGGGCACAATTATTTCCACGATATATACTGCATGTCAGCACTCTGTGGCGTAAACTGAAAGACGGGAAGGTATAAAAGCGTGGAGAGCAGTGGTGATACTGGAGAAAGTGCAGGAGGAAGGTGCGACAGAGGGGAAGGATGAATGGGAGGGAATCGCCGAGAAAAACATTCGGCAAAACAATTTAGGGACAGAAACAAATGAAAAGTCATCTGTTGGTTATGATATGTATGGTAATATCTTTGACTGAACCAATATACAGTATATTCATGATGGGAAAATTCATTTGGTGTGCTGTAGTGATACACAGTGATTGAAGGTAATAAATAAACAAATAAAGAGTGCCTTACAGTTTTCTTTCCTGTATGTTGTTTTTATGGCTCAAACAAGTACCCAAATTTGATAAAGCAATTTAGAATAGTTTGAGAAATGAATTTATATATATATTTTCTACATAGATTCTACCACTTGATTCGTCCATTGTGGAATCAAGTCAGTATAATCACAGAACCATGTCGTCTGAAAACTGTAAGTGAATGAAATGTGGTTTTGAGATGTTAGATTAATTTAAAAAATCAAGCTAAGATATTATATATTGATAAACTATCTTGATAGCCAAACTTAAATACAATATGTCATTCATTTTGCAAGGAAAGAAATCAATCAATCTTCTATATTCATCCTCTTTGTATCAAATGACAGCTGAATAATCCAAACTATGAAAGAAAAACATTGTAGGTCCCTGCTCAATACATACCAAATGTCTGCAGTCTATGTCAGAAATTGAGAGCTCCAAGACATATTAGTAGAGAAGGCAAACACAGATACCAAATCCCTTTGGGAGGGGAGCAGGCAGTGGGGTCTTGGGAAGGACGAACTCAGGAAAAAATAAAAATAGTTTTTGAAAGTTAGACTTCAAAATAAACTCAGTGGAAAATTCTTGCCCCATGAAAATCTTTTGGCTTTATTACATTATCTATACTTCTTCACCTCAGTAGCCTCAAAATATAATTTCAGTAGCCTCAAAATATTCATTTAATAGACACAAGAATTTAAGGTCCTTTGTTGAAAAAGATATATGGAAATATGTTTTTAAATTTTATTTATTTATTATCATCATAATCTTGTTTATATTACATTGAATCGCATATAACTTTACAGTGTATTACATTGATTTTTCAAAAGGGAATGCCATGCATGTCAATACAGAGACATTAAATCCCCCACTTCATCATTCAATATCTTTTCATTGTTTTTCCCGATCATTATAATTATTATTCCAATTATTTTTTTAACCAATCACTGTTTCTCATTTTGCTTGTAAACAGTCTTTACCCATCATGAAATACTTTTCAGACCAATCCAGTTGAAAATACTATACATGTCATCACCAACAGGTAATAAGCCATATCTGTTTGTCACTAACATTCTGCCTCTCTATTTGTTGTCTTGCTATCTTTCTCTACCCTCTTCTCTTCATCCCCCATTCCACACTCTTATCCTCATTAAGTATTTTCACTGCTTTTGATTATTACATACTGCATGCATGATTTGAAAAGCCATATTTTGCCATAAAGATGTATAGTAATTAAATGTAAATAAGAAATTATGAAATAAAGTAAAATCGAAAAAGAAATCAGCAAATGTAAAATGCCAGTAATTAAATGCAAAGTTCTATTGAGTAATATCCTGCATTTTTGTTGTTGTTTCCCCCCGTCCCCCACGCCATTCCGATTAAATGTTGCAGTGTTTTGCAAAAAGGGTGATATTCCATGTCTGGATAAAAAGAAATTGAAATATATTTAGAATAACATACAAGATAAACTAAATAGAAGGACTAATAAAAAATGGAAATTTATAACATCAAAAAATCAGAATTCAAGAAAATTATATTTTGAGGCTACTGAGGTGAAGAGGCATAGGTAATGTAATAAAGCCAAAAGTTTTTCATGGGGCAAGAATTTTCCACTGAGTTTATTTTGAAGTTTAACTTTCAAAACTATTTTTATTTTTTCTTCTGGGTACACATTTTTTTGGGTGCATTTATATTTTTGTCTGTTAACATTGTAAAGGTACAGTAAGCACTCAAGATGAGAAATATATAGACGTGTTTGGGTTAGGGGCCTCGAGCTCTTGGCTACAGCAAGTCATTCATTAGGTTAGGGATGCTATAACCAATACCTTCAAATAGCACATTTTTCATAATATGTATATATTTTCTTTGCGAAACTGAATTTAAACCTGTAGGCAGTTGAGAGTACATGAAAACATAAATATTTTCATTTTTAGAAATGCCATCATATTAATGTTAGGAGACTCACTCCCCATAGGCATCCATTTTCTGAAACATTATCCCTGAGGGTTTTATGTAGGACAATATTTTGACTTCCTAGACTACCATTATACCACTATTCCCAGAGTATTGATATGTAGAAATATTATTAAAATGGATGTAGCTAATCAGGAAATAGACTCTACATATTAGAATACTTCTTAGAGATAATAAAGATATTAACTTGACATGTGAAACACTGCTATAAGAGCAATGTACAGTTCCATAATTAAGTATAATTTAGATTTGTCCTGAATCTGCCTATCAAAAGTATTTGTTTGAAAATCAAGTCCTTTATATTTCTCTGAATATGTAGTAAGTTCCTTTCAATCAGTAATACAATAGATGATTATTGTACTACTCACAGAAACCTTTAGTATTCATTAGGCTTTCATTATGGAGTTAAGAAGGAAATGGAGAAAAGGAATTGCCTTCTGTCAAGAGAATTTACCATGTAGTTTGCTTGGGAAGAGTGATTACTATAGAGAGAAGGGGAAGATAATGTTATTTGTTAATGATAACCACACAATATTGTGGACAACCTCATCATTTGTATCTTTCATTAGATTGCCGTTATTCAAAGCTAAGACTACTTTGCATTTCCATTGTTCCTCAGCTCTCAGAGAGTCTGACATACTTCATCCCTACAAGCCTTCTGCCTCTCAGTTGAAATGACCATTTGTTGGAACAAGCAGCTGCAATCGAGGTAAAGGCTGACCTATAAAGGCATGGTTTAACACATACACATATGCAGAAGTTTTGTTCTCTAAAACCCTGTAGTGCTCTGAGACAGCTGTGTGGTAATTGTCAATTTAATCTAGCAGGTGAGTGCAGAAATCTGCACCGGGCATCATTTTCCATTCCGAAAGATTTATAATTTGTACTTTATTGTTTTTGTTGACAATAGCATGCTCATAAATCTATGAATATCATTTAGAAAGCAAATTGAGTTGGCTTCAAAGAAATGCTTTGTAGAGTATATTCTGTGACTTTCTGAGTTTGTTTAGAGTTCAAGCCTAGAATAGTGAACCTAAGGCTATGTGCTCTTAGGAACTAGGTGGAGGGACCAGCAGATGACATAATGGTTATGTTGCTGAGCTCACACATAGTCCCACAGTTTGAGTCCCAGACCCAGCAATGTAAAACTCACTCTGGGCACTTGTGCATGTGGGCCCAAAATCCCCAGAGGAGAAGGGATTGCAATGTGGCCAAACACCTGGGGGGGGGGTCATTTCTTGCTTTCTCTCTCCCCTGCAAGTGCATACACCCTGTACCAAAAGTCCCACCCCCCAAAAAAAAAGAAAAAAGAAAAAAAAAAGAACTATGTAGAGATTTTTAATATATATATATAAATTTTAACATGAGATTCTGAAATTTCTCTTCCTCTCCTCACAATGACTTTAAATTTCTGCCCATTACCAGGTGACTTGCAGCACTACCAGTGGGAGGAAGCTACATTTCCTCATTGAGGAATCATCAACATTGAGAAGAGATAAGCTGTCTCCACAGAGTCTTACTTGAATTTCTGGCCTGGCTCCTGTTTTATAGCATAAATTTTGAACTGTTTGCTATGCAACAATTGATAGCAGAATATTAATTCATTTATATGTAGCACTAAGAATATATTTTTTACTTGAAATATATTTTGTTGTTTTTCTGAAAGTTATGTTTGAAAATATTTAACCATAAACAGCAAAATTATATTCTTCCGGAGGTCAGTGCTGAGTGTAATACAAAGTTCAAGATATTGACCTTTTATCCAATAATTTTTATTGTAATAAAA